ATTACTGAAATATATTCATACATATTTATAATTGAAGAAATATAGTATTTTCGCGTACTATATATTTTTCCAACAGTATATAGTACGCCCACCGGAAAAATAGTACAATACTATATATTATAGTACGGTTGGCAACCCTACTGACAACACCTTGTTATTATTACACCACGAGGAATATCCTTCCTTATTGTCGCTGTCCAAGAATGATAGAATACAAGATTGCGCCGATCAGAGAGGATTTTTGAGAATAACTTTTGTGTGACGTCACACTGGTGCAATTGCGAGAGAGAAATGCCAAAACGTGAGCAAGAATGGAAGAAGAAGAAAAAATGTTGCAAGGAAAATGTAAACAAGTTGCACCAGTGTGACGTCATGCAAACAACGATTCTGTCAAATTCGTTAAGAGAGGAATAGCGGTCCGAGATCGGCGCAACCTTTGTATTCTCTCAATCGTGGTCGCTGTCGATATTGCTTCATAAGACGTATTGTCAAAAGCTCGCGATATGTCCAGGAATGCACACAAGGCTATTTGTTTATACAGCAATGAATTTTCAAACAGCGCAGCCGTTTTGCTTAAATTTAACGAAAATTGATTAATTTTTTCCTGCCTGTTAAAATGTTAAATTTTTCTTCGTTTTGCTAAATTTTTTGATGAAAATATTCAAAGAGGATAATTTTTTCCAAAAATTAATTTCTGACTGAGTAAATTTTCAATCAATTTTTCAGTTTTATCTTAGGATCCCATATAAACTTCCAGGAAGTGTTGCTCTACGCAACTCCCAATCCGCGGTCGTCACATTTTCAAACCTCCGAGTGTACTTCTGCCATGAAATCGTTTCTTATAAAAACCATTTGCAGTTCGGAGGCAACCTTAGGTCCCTTCATTTGCTTTACAAGATCAACATGGACATGTTATCCATATGATACCAAACTCGTTTTATGCATGCATTCAAAAAACTAGCGAAAGGGCAGCTAACTATTATAGGGGTATAAGTTAAGAGCCTGAAAGAATGTGTTACCTGCACATAGTTTTCAAATTAAGCAACTGTTAGACTAAAAAACAGGGACTTTAAATAGCAGTTATTTTTTCCAACAGTTAAACTTGGCCAGATATTTTTTAAGTTCGAAATAAAAGTCTTTCCGGATAGTAAACAAACCGCTTATGCAAATTAAACAAATTTGGTACCAAATGAAAGAGGACTTAAATAGCTTTTAAACAGAAATAACGATCGAAGGGTACCACTTCTATTCATATATTTTCTTATAATTTAATATTAAAGAAATGCATATACCTGACCCAAGGTTTGCTCTATGGTAATTAAAAATCATTTTTTATTTAAATATTTTTCAATAGCTGGCCTTCTGCTGGCTTTCTTCGTTTAAATATTTCAGTTTTAAAGCTCTCCTCTTTCCTCTTCAGTTATTCTCTTCAGCTATCCTCTTTCAGTTGATACCAAACTTGTTTAATTTGGATAAGCGGTTTGTTTATTAATAGGAAAGGACTTTTATTTTCGACTTAAAAATATCATTCCAAGTTTAGCTGTTGAAAAAAAAACTGTTACTTACGGACCCTGCTAAAAAATCCTTACTTTTGCCGACAAAACTGAGCCTTCGATTGCCTTTATTTACTTATTTACTTACTTGCTTATTGTTTTATTTGATGTAATGTGGAACGATTTTTCGTCATCCCTTGTCAAGTTTGGTTTGGAGATAAACCGGTTTCGGCCTTTGTCCGTTACTATTTATTGCCGTGCTAAATCGTCGTTGGTTCTTAATTAGGTACGTTTCAGCGGATTATATTCTTTATGTAGTTCAACCAGTAGTTTTTGTTCTACTGATACTGAGTATAAGGCAGATATGCGTGTTGACCCTCACCTAGGAGCTCATCCTTGTGTTTTAATTTTTCTAATGTTTTTACTAAATAGAAAGGAGCCGAGGCTTATTGGCCTATACGCCTTTGATAGTCGTGTCGAGTTTTTCCCACTTTTATGAAAACCACTTTGACTTCACTCCATGTTAATGGTATGTGAACAAGTAAAAAAAATTTATTTCAGTAACCTCACTAGTGGCCCAGATATTAAGTCCGCGCTCTATTGTAGGCATCGCAAATATTTAATAATAATAAAATAAGCTATTAGGAATTAGTGACGCAAGCTGTTTCTGAATTTTTTTATGGTAAAAAAGGTTTATTAGCAAAAGTTAGTGATAATTATTACGTACGAGAACAGCGTGGACATTTGTATGATTACGTCACGCGAACAGCTGATTCTCTCAAATTCGCCAAGAAAAAAGGAGCTGTACTGGTGAATGCGCCACCACTGTCTCTTTAAATCAAGGGTAAATGCCATCTTAGCAGGAGATATATGGTAACTAAAGGTTGAAATGCCCCACGATGTCTTTTCCATACTGACGATTCTTCCTGTAAGGCCCTTTATCATCCTACACAGCGTACGCAGTGTTTATTATAGGACTTTAGCATTGGGGGAATATGTACATCCCGGGAAATCTGTTTCTTACAGAAGCCTTTTGGTTTCTTCCGGAGTGCCATCTGGTCTTGTCAAAGTGCATAGGACGTTGCGATGATCCAATTTAAGGGTCTTCTGAAAGCAATGCACGTCTGGCAGGGAAAAAATACTTCTGCAGTGCTCACGTCACATAGCCTTTTTAGACCTTTGGAGCTCACAGTTGTAAGCGGTTAGAGCCTACTTGCAGGCGGTCCCATCTCCCGTTGTCCATGCCCTATTGAAAAGCTTCCAAGCTTTATTTAGATTACAGAGATTGTCTTTCCACCAAGGGATATCCCTTTAAGACTTTTTGGCACAAATGTTTGTTGTTAGCTTGGCCGAGCTCTCACCCGATTTGTGGCGTGCGCTTTGACGTTGTCACATAAAGGGGAGAGACCTACAGTCATTACTATACCAAATACTTTAATGAGTCGTTTTCCGGCCGCATTGCAAGATTTTTTTATATTTTTTTTGACGAGGTCTACTGGTTAGTTACCCTTTGGGCTTCTATATGGGATCTAATATGTCTATGGTCTGACATAGATACCTTCCTCATTTGAGGCATACCTGTTTGAGATAAAGGTCGACAGACTAGTCTAGTTGAGGAAATTGTAAGATCTAGAACCTCCCCTCTTATAGCATTAAAAAAGGCCAGTTCGTTATCCCGGTGAAGAATAAACAAGTTGTTCTTAGTAATAAATTAAAGAAATGGCTCACCTGAAAAATTGGTGTTAGAACCACCCTATACACAGTGATGGGCCTTGGTCTCATTACTAATGTCAGCTTTCTCCGTATGCACTACTCTTCTAAGGATATTACTTCCCTTTTGGCCATCTCGCAGCTATCGCCTGGAAGGTACGCAGAAGCGAGAAGAACCACTTGTTTACCCATTTAAATGGACACTTTAGTGCACAACGCAACTAAGTCCTGTTGTACCAACTCTGAAATTGGAATAAGAGTTATAGTTAGGCCGCTCTGGGCCTGCAGTGTGTGGTGTAATAAATAATCATACCATCACAGTCGTTAGGCCTTTAATGCCTTTAATCCATGGTTCTTGGTTGAATCAACACCTAAGAGCTCTGTTTTAAACCCCCTGTACGAAGGTTTAATGGGCTGCCTTTGCAGGATGGAGGTTCACTCGCAGGAACTTGACCTGCCTAGGCCTATATCTTTGTAGGTTTGCCATTTTACGGCCTTAAAGCCCGCTTGGCCTATTTTCCTTCATTTGGGGGCCACGAGTGTCGTCTCTTCCACCGAGACCTCCCATCGACCTTGTCTCCGACTCGCATTTAGCGGAGGACAGAGGGGATTTTGGTCCACGAAGGCCTTTGGTTTTCCGGAGCTTGAAGGGGCCGTCTTCCCTGTGCCGCCAGTGTTGTAGTGGGTGCATACTTTGAGCAATAGAGTCGCTCTACGGTGCTATCCCGTTGCGTGGCAGAGGATCTGCTTTCGAATGGGCGGTATCCTTCGAATCAACAATCAGAGTTAGCGCAATGGTGGGTTATTTCTAAAACCTGTTGAGCACCTCCAGCTTCCGACTAGCATCCCCACGTTGCGACCCTCAACAGGCCAAGAATATTATCCACTGAACTATCTGATTGCTCCGGAAAGTGATCAACATAGACCCTGGGTTTGTTATATCAGCGGCATGGGTTGCCACAATTTCCACGCCTTTCCAGGGTTTTAAAGTGGGCGCGACTTTACGCAGCCACTCCAGCGTTTCCGCGCCTCCGCAACTAGTCTTAAACTATCCCGTACCACCTAGAGACCAAAGTTTTTTAGGTAATCTTTAGGGAGTAACCCTAACTTCGGCCTTTATGACCTTGGCATTGAGTTCCGTTGGCCCCTTGTGTCAGCAATGCCAGTTCGGCCTTTGTTTTTGCCATTGGAAGAACGGCAAGTCGTTTGGCATCGCTTTCGCTGACCCCTCCGGAGATGTAAAATTCGTAGCGCTTTTATCTGCACCAGATTGCTTTCTAGCGCTAGCCCCATCTGGCTGTGGTGTCCGGAGCGCTTCCTGCTCATCTGTGGTTACCTGGATGTCATTATCATCTGGACCGAATTCCAGGTTGACCATGTCGACATCCATGGGAGCCAGATTGCTGAGAAGATAATCTGAATCGACTCCTATTTCATCCATTACATCATCTTCCCCATTTGGTTGGGCGCTTTGCCCATTTGGCTTTGCATCCAGTTCGTCCGCTGCAATATCGTTGGGCATCGAGTGCACCTATAGAGGCTACCGACTATTGCCCACTGTTAGTAGGCAAATATTAATAAAGGCATCATAACGTAAAAGAAGTAGACTGCTGCATAGCTAAAATAAAACAATCTCTGAGAAGCTCGGAGCAAGCAGCTTTGGCCCAATTATACGCTGATACTATTCCGAGGCATACTAGAGGTACTGGTATCGAAGAGCCCTAAAGACTAGCCAAAGTTGACGGTCTTAGCCTAACCTAACTATAGCATCTGAGAGAAAAAATAGGTAGAAATCAATTAGGGATTACATAAGTTTATTTTATTAGGAGCAATTTGGCATGTACAATTTCAACGGTAATTATATAATTGAAATTATAGTTTGTGTACTGTGCTTTTAATTACAATTCACTTACTGATATTTTACAAGGATTACAATTCTTAGTTTGTATTTATCTTAAGTCTTTTTACATTTTGAATTTCTTGTTTTTAGTTTTAGAAATTTGAATAAAGTAAACAATTTTATATTAGAGTGTGCGTTCCTAGATCTGTAGGTCCACCAAAGAGATTGACAAACACTGTATCGATTGCTTCTATCTATGTATATAATTTTGTATACATTTTATAAAATGTGGCTTATTTGCATAAATGCAACAATCGTCTCGTCTAAAATGCTTGCAAATGCTTAATTGACAAGGAGACTACATTTTAGACAAAAGGATTTGCATTCAGTACTTTAGTGCTACGTATGAGCTTTGCTAATCGGCTGCATGCTTTGCTTTGACTTTTGAATGATTCAAAATGTCATCCAAATTTGGTTTCTTATCAAACATGTACGAAAAAAATCAAAAGATTGCTTTTATTCCATTGGGCTGTATGAATAAAAACTAAATAATTGCATTTTCTTAAAATTTCAGTCTAACCACTTACATTTTTTAAATAAATCGAGTAAAAGCTTAAACATTTTAAGAAAAAAGCAATTGCTTAGTTTTGATTCATACGACCCATTGTATCATAGCGAGGGGATACAAGGTGTAGTTACGTTATCTTCGATATTCGAAATAGTCTTTGTCTAACACTTTGATATGACCTTTTAGACAATAATATTATCAATAAATATTTAAAGTTATGTTAAGAGTTTTTCAATTTAATTTTATAGTTTGCGTGGTTTTGATTTATTTTACTTAAATACATATGTTAAGTATATATCTATGTAGTATGTATGTTTGTGTTTTCTTATCTGAATCAAGGCATGCAGCCTCAATCTTGGATTTATAGCAAAAATAAAAAAAATTCCTTTAATTTTGCGAATGCCTGTGAATATAAATATAGGTATTGGATTTGTAATATTTCATTTTGGGTACCACAAAAATTTTCCAACTGATTTGCCTTTTCATTGCTTACATTTTGCTTTCTAGCACATGGGCATAACGTGCCTTTATGTTGCGTATTTTAAGCAATTACACTGGGTATCCCCCCAGACTCTTTACCACACAATCGTCTAATATAATTTCACAACGCAATCTCTCTGGACAGATCCTAACCAAAGTGTTGAGTGGGAAGATGCCAAATAAATCAGTAGATGTGTGATACACAATGTAAAGTGCCACATAATAATGATAAACTGATGACTTGATTGATAAAATGTCGAAATGGTAAAAGGTTTCTATTGAAAGTCATAGTTTTGTTAGTACTCCACTTTCCCTTGTTTCAAAATATTTATTTTAGGAAATTACTGCGAAAATTGTAAAGAAATTGAATCTTTCAAAGCATAAGTAAGTTTGTATGTGCACAAATTTAATGCGGCGCAAGGTCAATATTGGGCAAACATTTTTTTTAACATTTGTAATACTAATTTAGATACTTTTTTCCAAATACCATTTGCTACCTTGTGGTTGAAGAAATCGATCCCGAAACAAGTTTTCTTTAGTTCGGCTAGATTTAAAAAAAAAACGTTTAAAAGCCATGCGATACCGAAAAAGTTGCGCTAGTACTCGTCGATTCAAATTTTTTATATAAATACTTGCCAGCATGATTGCAGATAACTTCATACAAGTGTGCCAAAGGATTTACTATTATTCTTGAGAATTTTACCTTTGTACGAGTATCCTTTTGTGATTGCCGCGGTCTTGGCTTTTCTTTCGTTAGATATGGTCTGCCATGTTCAATAGAAATGTTGTAATTTCATTTGCAGCGACCGCCTTAACCCAGGCACCGTGGCATTAGCTTGGCCAAATGGTACGGTTGGCGGTGATTGGGGTGGTTTGGTTGTCTTGAATACTTTCATGATAGTGGTGTGCAAAAAGGTTGGCAGGCTCGGAACTGCGCATGGCCATAGTGTGGGTCTGGCCGTTTTTTTGGGTTTATATTTTATTGATAGCAATTACGTCGACTGCTGCTGGTTCATAAATTTATGATGCAAAGTTTAAATACTGTAGCGCTTCTGTTGCTTAAAATGTCAAAGACGGCATTTTGTTGTTGTTGGAGCGTTGCTCGATAGTACTTTCGATCCTGTCAATGTTGTTCACAGATATGTACATACATATGTAAGTGGGGATGCACGGATCTACATGCGAGTACATACATAGTTTATACATATGTATGTATGTGGTTAAGGCTGAGTATGGCTGCTTGCATGACGTAGCTGATGTGAATCTGTTGCGTGCGTTGCTTGTTTCGATTTGTTTATTTGTTAAGAGGTGCACATACATATATACATATACAATATGTATAGAGGTATGTATATATGTTTTCAGCTAGGTCGTTGGCCACAACCGCACGTTGGATTCTATCGCTATGGAATTGCCTAGGTTCAATTTGTTTTTGATGTTGATATTTTTCGTTGCTTTATTGACTTGTGCTCACGTAGGTACATATCCATAAATATACCATAATATGTGTGAGGGTATGCTTGCAGCAAAACATATGACCGTATATTAATCCAGACTTTCAAATCTTCTTCAAGAAATTTTACCACAATTTAAAGGCTCGTCATAGGTATTCGCATAGCATTTAGGGTGGGTATGCCGATCAACGATGGAAAAGGGATAAAGTTATAGTTTTCCCTTTGAATCTAATTCAGAAGTTGATTTTGATTTGAATTTCATCGCTTCATCTCTTATTTTGAACATTCTGTCAACCGAATGTAATGAAATGATACACTTTTTGCTAGTTTCCTTGAAAAGTAAAATAATAAGGTTATGAGATTTACTGATATGAAAGTTGCCCGCATGCATTTGAATTTGCCATGAATAAGTTTTTCAACTCGGTTCGATAATTCTTATTTGGAAAAATCACTTAAGATTTTTGATGTGCCATCGTCAAAAGCATTGGAATGAACGACGTTAGTTACATATGTATGTATCTATGTATGCACATAAATACACTTGTTATGATGGATGGCAGTTTGCTAGGCCTGTGTTATTGATTGGCATTGCTGTGTGTACGCGTCCTAACAGCGCTGCTGCAATTACACTTTCTCACCGCCCACAACGGGTTTAGTAAGTGGAGTGCCGCATTCGCAACCCACTTGTTGTTTTTTACAGTATAGAAAAGTCGGCTGCTTGAATTGAATTGAATTTTTTTTAGAGATTTGCTTTAAATGTAATATTTTTTGCTCTGTCGTTTGTAAGATGGGTTTGTCTTGGGTTTTCTGCGCTGTGTTGCTTGCCAAAATGTATTTTTTATTGGTCTTTCCGGGGAGACGAAATGAGCTTTGTCGGTAGCCACAGCCAGGATTGGAAATTTCTTGCGTTTGCCGCATAACGACTTCCGTTCTTTGCACAGAATAATTTATGCTGCTACTTATGTATATGAATGTATGATTATACACACATACATATATAAAAAATTAGTTACTTTAGAGCCAGAGCAGTGTTTTATGGACCACCATGAATGCTTATTGTCCATGTTTAATTCCGCTATGGTCGTGTGCAAGAGAGCACAACGTTTAATTGAGTATCATAATTTGGCTTTTTTTTTGGAATTTACATTGTATTTATAGATTATAGAACTGTTTTAATTTTAGTAAAATTTTGATTACGTATGTATGGTAAGTTTTGATTCCATGATAAAATTTGAAGAGCTTAAGATACATAAAATTATTTAGAGTTTTTTTTTTGAATTTTGGCGTTGCTCCTTCATAATATTTGTTGTATTATGTCTCAAAAAGATATGTGCCAAACAGAGTTTTCGATAATTTTAACGGTAGATCTCATCGATGAATTTTGAGTGATCTAAAAATAAATGCATAAAAAATTTCTTACAAAAGATCTTTGTTTTTTTTTTGAGTGGTATAAAAACAATTCCATGAATAAACTTTTGTAAAAGGGTTTAAATTCGGGTTTCTTAAGATGGTTTTCAATAGTTTGTTTTTTTTTTTTGTTCGTGGACATTTCGTATTCCAAATATTTTTTCCTTTCGCTCGTTTGGAGAAATTTTTAATATATATTTTAAGATAAAATATACTACGTTAATTAATTGAACAAATTATTACAAAAGCTTACTTTTTTAAGATTTATCAAAAGAAAACTTTGATTATAAAATTTAACTACCAACCAAGTAGATACATTTATGCATACAAATCTTTAAAAATTCTATAAAAGTCGAAATGGAAAATAAATTTTTTACCTTTAAATCTAGGTTTTTTGTTTAACGATTTTTTATTTTAACAGAGATTCCAAATATTTTAGAACTTAGCATTCGTTTTTTCATTATCCAAGCAAAAAATACATAACTAATAAAAGCGTTTACAAAATTTTACTACCGGAAATTGTTGAAATAAATATTTATTTGTTAAAAATGTTAAATAATTTGGGCAATTTAACATTTTGAAATCCATTAACTAATGGTGTTTTCGTTTCTTTCAAAAAATGATGTTGCACTCAACTCTGTAAAAGTGTATGCTTTTACCTACTTATCCTTGTCTAGCGCACGCATTGCATAATATTTTCGTTTCAAGCAAACATCTCATTTCCAGTGCATTAATCTCTCCCCACAACGCTTCAAGGACAGAAAATTTGCCTGTTGCCTTAATAGAGTGTGCCATTGTAAGAAACGAACACAAAATTTTCTCACCGGTTTGCTTTTACATATTTTACAATCGAACACGAAAAGAGAAAGGGGCAATCAAGAGGCAGCATTTTTTGGTAGAAACGAAAGCAAGATGGGTATTAACCAAATGTAATACAAATATGTACATACATACATATGTACGTAGTATGCATGTATGTTTGTGCATATGTACATACCTATGCAGTAAGTGTTTGAATATAATGTAAAAAATTTACTCGAAATACATATACTCTGTTTACCGTAGGATTCTGTTAAACATTTACCATATTTAGTATACACTTTTTTTTTAAATGCAGGGATGCCCTAAGTAAAGACCTTAAATTTTGAATTTTGTTATCCCTGAGCGCGTTTCTAAGACGTAGCTGTTGCTATACTGTTGAGTGTTTGTTTCAGAAACGCTCAGTTGAGTAGTTCCGCTCAGCTCAACGGTTGGCAACCTTACGCCATTTTTTCCATCATAAAATTATTTCGCTACGTTATATAAGTCAAAAATGATGTTTCCCTTCAGTCAATTTTCATAGAAAACCCAAATAAAAAAATAATTTGTCTGTAAATTGCTGGCGAAGCTGGCTGTTAATAAAATAAAATGCACGTACAAATACATATATTAAAAATAAAATAAGAAAAACTCAATTATAAATCCTGTGCTATCCATATTTTTGGCTTCATATTTTTTTTATTTTTGTGCTGTTTTATTTAATTTTGCTTGTTTACAAATGTTTTGGCAGTTAATGTAACATCCCGTTTCTATGACGTAACTGTTGAACTCAACACTTGACAGCATTTCAGCAACAGTTGAGGTAAACAGTTGCGTCTTAGAAACGCGCCCCATGTCAAAATTTCTTTTAAAAATCATACAAATTTGATTCTAGCAAACGGCAGTTAAGAGTGAAAATTAATGTTTTGGATGTAAGATGTTCTGATTGCAAAATTGTTCTAATTAACAAAAAAAAAAAAATACCTAAAAGCTTCATTTAATCGGGAAAGAAAGTGCACTTCTTTGGATACATGTAAATAATAATAATGTATGTACTTACATACATGTGTATGTAGTTTTCACTTTCAACACCGAACTTTAATTATTTTTTCTGACGTATTCCATTTTCTTGCAGGAGAAGCAGAAAATTAAAAAAAAGTGATAAAAAAAATGTTAGCTAGAACCATATATCGTCCCGTTTCTGCCTTAACCACGTATCTACAATTTTTGGGAAAACTAATATTACCATTTATAACAGCTGTTTAAGCGTCACACTATTTCAAAATAGAACAGAGACTTAATGAGGGTGCTTACTACTGTTAGTGGAACCCGAAATATTAAGTAAAAAATGGGTTTATTGTATTCTAAGGGAAGAAATTAAACATTTTTTCTAACACTCTCTAAAATACCTCTATTGCAGATACGAGGTTAAGGCAGAAACGGGACGATATGTAATACTTCTATATTGGTAGTAAGCTAACATCTCAATGTGTAAGCATTCCGAAATCAAAGCGAGACAGTCTAGTACTGTTTTTGTCAATGTATTGTGTACCTGAGTGCCGTTTTTGTAAATGTGTCGTGTACATGTTTATTTATAAACGTATGTGTTCCTTTTCTTTCGTACGTGTTTATTGATATATCTGTACTGTAGGGTTTTCGGACGGTACTAGCTCTTACTGCCAATATAGGAGTATTACATATATGGCTAGAACCATTCGACATTTCATCAACGATAAGATGCATGTACATATGTATGTACATATGTAACATTTAATTTGTTATGCTTGAAGTAAAAGAAATACAAATTTGTCATACGTAGCTCGCAAATGGAATTTTTAAGTTGCAATAAAAAGGATGCATGCAATAGAAAATTTAAAATGCGGATATAAAAAACAATTTGATGTTTAATTGTCATATTTAGTAACATAAAAGTTTTAGATGTACTATGTATAATTAATTTATGATTTTTTTAAACCCTGCCGGATTTACGTGGGTAGAAGAAATTCAAAAGGTTCTTTTGGTATTTATTTTATATTCTTCGGATAATTTCAAGCTTCCTTAGATAGAAGAGTGTACTAAATTTTTTAGCATTCTACTAAAATTTCTTTTAACACTTTGCTTCGTTTTCGAAGATCATAATCCATAAAATTAAAAATTTCGAGCGCCATCGGATATGATTACTTCTAGGTGAGCAAATTCCTAAAAGAAATTTTCCAAAAATAACGCATTATTCAGCGATTTTAATTCTTGTTCAGAATACCGGCCTATCGGATTCTTCAATGACATCCAAGAAACGGCTGCCATTTTTATTAAAAATAAATGTATTGGGTGGTGCTGTTGACATCGATGGAGAAAGTTATACTCTAAGGAGTGGTTAGAATAACCACAGAAAATTTCAGAATATTAGTGCTTTTGAAAAACGCATTAAGTGCGACGAAATAGTTAATTTTGTCGAAATTGTAACTATTGCAAGTTGATTTTGGTAAATATCAATTTCGTAGTCCATGGCAGCTTCTCGGATGTAGTTGAAGATATTTACTTTGCCAATTTTGTTACTTCCACTTAGTAGAAAATTTTTTTGAAGTTGTATTTATTGCGGATGTGTACGATTTTAGGTATGTATGTTTGTGTGTACACTTATATATCTAATTGCTTAAAAACAAATAAAATTTGGGATAAGCTTCAATATTTGATTGTGTTCAAAATGTTTTGCACTTAATTATGTACCTACTAATTATTTCACTAGCTCACCTCGACCCTTTCTAATTTCTGTTCTGTTTTCCTTTTGGTTATTGAATTTATATACATACATATTATGCGAATTTTACCTAAAATTTGCCGAAAATCAATTACTGATATTTAGTTCGTCACAGCCAAAATTGCCCAAAATCTAAGCGTTGAATATCGAAAGTGCTTCTGTGTGCAAAACCCGTCAGCTCATTCATAAGAGAGGCAGGAGCGAATTTATGTATGAATGATGCTTCAGATGTTGATGAATGAATCCCTCCGCGTGTGGCACGCACACATACATACATATGTACGTGGCCTTGTATTTAAGAATGGGGTGGAAGAGGTATGTATGTATATGTTAAGCAGGGGTGATGCTCTTATCTTTCTCCTGCTGCGAGTGCTTAGCTGGGGAAATTAGCTTTTCGTAGTAGTTATCTTTGTTGTTATAGTTGTAAGTTGAAGGGATGGTTTATCTTTCTTAATCTTTTAGCTGCTCCTCCGCCAATACTCCTTTACATTTCTCCGACAGCACGCCATTGTTTATATAGATGAACGTTTTTCGCTGCAATGGCAAATGAGTCTTTTAGAGGAAAATGTAACTCAAGATTGTCACTCATTTATGAGACTATTGAGTTTGATTGTTGGAATAGTTTTGGTGAGATTTCTTCATATCCGATTTTTGGTGAGTCTTAATTTTTTTCCATAGATGGGTCCTTTAAGTAATTGAATTTTTAGAGAGTTGCTCATGGGCGAGATTAAATGATATCTGCAATAGTAAACATAAAATGGACGTTAGTCTATTTGGTCATCTACATAAGAATGAAGTAATAATCAATAGCAATACCACAATAGGCATTTTATCGAGTCCCAAGGTTTGTATACTCTATCTGACGTTCTGAGCGCGAAATATGGCGGCCAAAAAGTTATTAGCAGGGGAAATTTTTTATGGACCTAAAAGCCTATAAAAAAGGCAAAATAAAATAACGACACAGTCCTGAAAAGGCAAAAGAAAAACAGCGAAATAAGCAGGAAAAGCCACTAGAAAAGGCAAAAAAAGCAAAACAAGGCATTAGAAAAAGACAAAAACCGAAAATTAGTCAAAAAATACATTTATTTTAGAGATTTTTATTTTACAAATAAAAAGAGAAAAGCTATGAACTAGTTTCATTATCTGAAAAATTTTTACGTTGAATATATTTTCTGCTTTCGAGTTTTTAACTCACAAAACTTGAATCTCTATAATTGTAGTATTTTCGCGAATAAAAGCCTTGAATGTACTAAACGTGCGCTCAAAGTGAGTTGATACAAGCGGCGTCTAATTTAAATATGAAACGTTTAAAACTTTCATATTATCAGGAATAAGGGTTTTTTAATTGCCCTTTACAGTTAAAGGTAGAAAAGGCAAAAAGGCAAATATCTTAAAAAAGGCAACATCAAATGTGTACATTCTTAATCGAATATACTCTATCTCTTTAGCAGAAAAATAGGTAATTTCCATAAAATCTGTTATTAGGTATGCCAAATTTAAACATTTATTTAAACAACTAAAAGGAAAAAAAAACTCACTTTAGCCAGTCTCATATTAACCTGGCGTCAATGCCCATTAGGAAATTTCACCCAAGCGTTTTATTTCTCACGAAGTCTTAAGTACTTTATTTTTATTTTTGAGCACTTATACCGTAATGGCCAAGGGGTCAATTCCCGTTCTGCGTTATCGTGAAGTGAAGTGGAAAGTCAAAAATTCACACTGAAATAAGTGCGGTGTGAGAGTATTATTTTTATCACTTCACAATAACGTCAGTAATAGCGTCAAAAAATAGCGTAATGGTCTCACGGGGTCCAGTGGACCCCAAGAAAACATACGGATGCCACGTATGTATGTACGTTCTGTTTCATATATAGACTCGAGTGCTGTACTTTACTTAAGTTTTTCTTTTTCTTTATATTCTGATAAGATCTTTATTAGAAATTTGAAATTATTAATAACTAGGATTTACCCGCGGGTTTCACCCCACGTCAGAAGAAATTAAAGGGGTCATGTGACTTGTGGTTCCGAAGTTATGGCTGATAAAAAATTCTAAGCCTATGTTAAGTGCTACGCCCCCTTTTAAAAACTCATTTATATATAACTTACTATAAGCACCTACCATAGATATGTCTGCATACCAAATGCCATGTTTATGTGACTTATGGTTCCGAAGTTATAACTGGTAAAATATTCCACGCCTTTGGGATTTGCCGCCCCCTTTCACAGTCTCATTTGAAAATATACCTTACTATAAGCTTCTACCATAGATATGTCTGCATACAACATTTCAAGTTCATGTGACTTATGGTTCCAAAGTTATGTCTGACTAAAAATTCCACGACTATGTTATCTGCCACGCCCCATTTTACAAACTCATTTATATATGCCTTAAGATAAGCATTTACCATAGATATGTTTGCATACCAAATTTCAAGTTCATGTGACTACGCTTCCGAAGTTAGAGCTGGTTAAATAATTCACGCCTATGGGAGGCGCCACGCCCCCTTTTCCAATGCCGCCCATATTTTCCCATGAGTACGGAATTAGTTTTATTTATCTCGACAGCAAGTTCCAATGCACAAGAACAAATATTTCAAGAGATATACAACATGAAAATTTTAGTTAGTATAGGTGCCGCGCCCTCTTTTCCAGTACTGCCCATTTTTCTCTATACCTATAACCTTCCCGGGGTTCAGACATTCACATTTATATATATAGTTAAAAATGTTGGCTATATATCAACAAATGTTTGCTAACCTGTTGATGAAATACTGAATTTAACATGAGAAAAGTATATTTATGTCGATGTACAAAGTTAGCTAATTTAGTAGGTATAGCTCATAACATTAAAGAAAAAAATAAAATAATGGAATAAATGATTTGTTTGCTTAATTAAATATTTAACTTATTTTAGGAAAAAAAGTTTTTTTTTAAATTAATTTTCGACTTTTTTCTAAAACCGGGTTTAGAATTATTCGAAAACAGGAAATTTGAAAAAATCGGTTCTCAAATTTTGAATTCAGAAAAAACGGTTAGACCGGATATTTGGATTTAATTTTTTGGATTTGGATAACGTGTAGTTTGTCAGAAATCAAATCCTAAAATGGGGAAAAACTATTTACATAAAATATGTATAGCTTTCATTTAATAATGATAATAGATTGGCGCTTAAACATATGATAGTATTTGGCCGAGCTTCTCCTCCGATTTGTGCCGTGGGCCTTGATTTTGTCACACACAAAGAGGGACCTACAGTTTCTTTATGCAGACTCCGAACGGCGATTTTAGTTTTATGAGAAGCTGTTTTTCATGGCAGAAAAACACTCGTAGGTTTGGCATTGCCTGCTGAAGTGCGAACGCAGTTAAAAAAACTTGTTTGCTCTTGATATTTTGATGTTGGTCGGAAATCGGGCTTCAACCCAGGCCTTGCGAAATTTCTAACCACTACACCACAGCGGCCGCCAGCTTTCATTTAAAAAACAATTAAATGGAATAAGTTCAAAGTTATTCGTATTTGGATTAATATTTAGTAAAGAAACATTGGTTGTAATAAATATTTCAAAGTTTTAGAATCAACTGATTTTTTTAGTAGTTAAAAATCTTAACCTTGCTTTTTATAAATATTTTATAAAATACATATTTCAGGCAATTGTTTTCTGAAATATCTTCAGTTTTTAAAAACTTTTTTAACCGACCTCAAAAAAAGGAGAAGGTTATCAATTCGTCGGAATATTTTTTTATGTATGTTACCGCATAACTTTGGATCACGTTAATCGATTCCTATAATTCTTTTTTTAAAGGAAAGGTGTTACCTCACAGGTGGTCCCGATTATTCGATCGTGATCTTATATTTTTTGCCGGTTATGTTTTTTGCTTAAAAATTACTTGTCTTAAATCATTTTGTGAATCGAATCTCCACTGGAATCAGATGTGGTCGCTTATGGATGCAGTGCCTCAGAAATGTGTTCTTACGAAGAACTAATTTAGACTGCATTTTTGATTAACAAAGCTTTGTTTGACTAAGTTTTATCGAATTTGTTTGAAGAATAAAGAAGAAATCGAAACCAAGAAAAAACTCATATGGTAAATCTGCTTATGTTTTTGATAAGCGCATTTCTACTAAATTTAGTATTAAAGCGTATGTTTTAAAAGCGAATGGTTAAAAGCGTATTGATTTCTTCCGATATGAAAAGCATACGTATACCAAAAGAATTTGCGAAGGGAAGTTAACTGTATTTAAGAGCAAGATTGGTAAACAAGCTATGTTTGCTGTTTCAACAAAATAAAAAATATACTTAATTTAAAGATGCAGTTATATAAATATATAGATGAAAAACCCGATTTATTCGATAGCAAAACTCCGGTTTATTCGATATTCAAAAAATCACAATTTCAAAAAATGGTAAAAAATTTTGGAAAAAACTGGTTTGGAAAACCGAGTCCATCACCCCAGTACATAGTACATGCATACACACATAGAGAAAACAAAGCTAGGCAGGGTAATAGATATGCATTCATGTGTATATTAAAGAAAATAGGCGTATGGTTATTTCTAATCTGGCGTTACGTGACGCTCGCATGACAAGCTGTTAAAAAAAATTAAAAAAGGCAAAATTTTAAAAGGTTTTTCTAGATTTGCATATCAATTAAATGTCCCCTTATTCAGTAAAAACATTACAACTGTTGGTAGTAGCGATTAGAGTTGTCAAACTATCGATAGTATCGATAGTTTAAATTTTTTTAGACTATCAACACTCAATGATATTTTTTTTTTATACTATCAAAAATATCGATAGTTTAGTAGGACTATCGAACTATTGTTGGTAATACCTGAATTTTTTAATTTGACTTAAAAATTTTGTTTTTTAGTGTGATGCCGACGTCATATTCAAATATGCACGCATTTAGGCCAACATACATACATGTGTTATTCGTAAATCCTGTTTGGTTTGTATAACTTGTGCTTGTTTTTGAACTTTCTAAAAAGAGAAGTA